ATCCATACATACATTATAATATGCACACATTATACGAGGACATGATACGCAGGTGTTGTCACAGCTCACCAATTCTCAGGGGAGGATACTCCTGCCTTTGAGTTATACTGTACGTTTACTAATAAATCTGTGGTTCTTTCCCTTACTTTCGGGCGGCGAACGTTGCGCTGGCAACCCCAGAGAAAAGAATCCTCTGTTCATGTGACGGGGTCTCAAACTCAATAATTTCACAGGGGCCACTGGAGACCAAGTCTAGGTGAGCCCTAGTAGTAGTAGTAGTAGTAGTAGACAGTAGTAGTAGTAGTAGTAGTAGTAGTAGTAGTAGTAGTAGACAGTAGTAGTAGTAGTAGTAGTAGTAGTAGTAGTAGTAGTAGTAGTAGTAGAGGGTTTTACGGCGCTCGCAACTGCATAAGGTCATATGAGCGCCATAGGTGAGCCCTGGTCGCATCAAGTATCCCCAGAGAAAAAAAAATATAACGATTTCAAGCATTTAAAAAAGTACCCACTATTTAACCCTATCCGCCCGTCGGGCTTTACTATCGTATCCATACGACGTGGGGAACTCTGTGCCAACACTTTCCAAAGAGGAAATTCACTCGTTAATCCGATCCGTACACTTTGCATAGCAGTCTGTCAAAATGATTTTTTGAGAAATACTGAAAGTTTCAAAGAGATCTTTGTACAACATGTACAAGTATTCTAAAATGTGAAGAATACATCCCGAGGGCACAAAATGACCCCAGGGCGTACAGATAGTGTTAAACTTGTCAACAAATACCTGCACACGCCGTGGCGAACTGGGACATTATGATTATGTTGAGTAAAACCTCGTTATACCGCCGCCCTTGGGACGAAAATGGAGTAAGCGGAACAGCGGGGGTGGGGGTTCAGCGCGGTTCCTCAGTTGTAAAACACCGACCGCCCAACGTCGAGGAACATCATTTTGTTGGGCAATCTGTGTTTGAAACGTGTCTGTAATGCTTCGTTTGTGTCATCTAAATTTATATTTGATCAGAAAAAGTTGTAGTTTGTTTAAAGTGTAGTTTTTAAAGAGAATCAGAAAATTATGAATCCAGGAATACATGTGAGAGCTATAATTTGATCAGTTATCTATGAGCATGATTCCTGACCTCCTGAAGCTGTCGATGACGACACTGTGAGGGCCCGAGCATGCTCAATGTGCAAAACAACATATTCTGAAGAGCAGCAAAACATAGCAAGGAGAATCAAGATTATATCAAAGAAGTATGAAAGAGAGCACGTGCAACTAGGCACCCGCTGAACTCATTAACAATATATTATTGGCAAACTCTTCCATGCTGCAGAAGTGAACTTATGTGTTTGTACATTTTTACAGACTTGTGTAGCAGTAACAGGTCTACTGCGCACTTTCAATTTTACTTTGACTGCCCGGGTTCGATTCGTTTACGTTATCGTTACCGTATCTAACGAAAGTTCATAACATCACGAACAAACAGAAAAAAACTCCCCCCCCCTCTCTCTCTCTCTCTCTCTCTCTCTCTCTCTCTCTCTCTCTCTCTCTCTCTCTCTCATAGAGTGGGAGGATGGGATAAACCGCCGACTCAGCCTTTGCAAAACAAAAACAAAATCGCTGCTTGCCAGGTGAGAATCCTTTCTATGCTCACTTCTAAAGCACTGAGACTCAGAGCTAAAAAGTTCCATCTACAATATAACTTACGTTCTTTTAGGAACCATTTTCACTTCGCTCTGTTCGCACCAGGACGGTTGCGGGGTTACCTGCGCTACCTGAGCAGTTTTGTGGTACATTACCCCGCTCACGGTCATGGCGAACCGTCAACGGGAGACTGCACGTGCGTTCGGGTGGGGAGGAGAAGAGTGGGTGTTGTGTTGGCGTTGGTGGGTGGGGGTATGAGTGTATACGATGTATGTGTGTGGGGGGGGGGCGGTGTGAATGTTCCTTTCCATCCCTCTCTCCGTCTCTCACGCCCTCTATCTCTTTCTTTTGTCTTCCTCTCCCTCCCACACCCCTTTCTGTGTCTCTCTCTCTGTCTCTCCATGTCTCTCTTTCTGTCTCTGTCTCTCTCTGTCTCTGTCTGTCTGTCTGTCTGTTTGTCTGTCTGTCTGTCTCTCTCTCTCTCTCTCTCTCTCTCTCTCTTTCTGTTAAGATACATCACCACCTCCCAAACGTGATCTGCCCAGCTGTGACGACTTCCGCGTACAGTAATTCCTTCTGATGTCAAATAATACCAATTGTCACACATCTCATATCACTCTTATCATTTTGAAGTGTTTGTAGGAGGTGGGGGCAGACAATATTGCCAGGTGGTCGCACCTTGCTGTAACAATTACCGAAGGCGCAAGAAGTTGTCTCACTAACAAGGCAATTCCCAATGTTCGGATCGGATGCGGGAACATCTGTTCTTTACCTTATGACGCACGTATCTCTGAACTGTTATTTGGCAATGAGTGTGCGTCTCTCGCTCATGATATACCCAGCGTGCAATTTTCAATTGATTGTTAAAACTTCAAACTCTCACTAACCACGACAAAGACTGAAGTTCTCTTCCAGACGGTCGGTTGTGAAACGCAGCGGCAGAACCTCCCTCCTTAAATCAAAATACGTAGCAAAACATCGAACAATGTCTATAGCTCTAAAATATTGGTATATCCAAGTGCCCTCATCAACGCTGAAATAGCTTTATCTAT